ATCGATGAATGTGTGATGGCACCGTGTCATATCCTAAAGACTGTAATTTTCCGCCAAGTGAAGTCGTTTCGCCACGTAAAAGTTCATCAAAACTAACTGTTCCCGATTTGCGAGCATAAAGAGCTCGTATACTAGATTCCGATGGAATCGAGGGATCACCATTAATAACTTTGGCAGGATAGGAAAGTACTTCTGATGAAAGAACGTATCCTATCTCTATATAATTGTTTGGATGCCCATGTCCTAATTAATGATATCACCTTTATTGTAAGTAAGAAGGAACTTCACAACAACCGAGACATGACATTCATACCATGTATATCAATCAAGAGACCACGACCAAATATCTCTTCAACTTCTTTAATAGCCATGGCCACAAAGGTATGATAATCCTTCCAGGCTAGCTGCGTCAAAGAAGGTTCTGTTTCATTCCCTTCGGCACCTTCTTTCAAGGGTCTGTTTACGTCAATCTTGCTTCTTCCGAGATGATTGATAATCACATGAGGTTTCCGCCCCTTCAATTTCGTGCCTAGTAATTCTACCACAGCTTTACCAATTTCCTGTGTATTGATATCATTGGATTTTACGACTCCGGGAAAATTATTTACTCTATCGGGTATATAAGGTGGAAATAAATGACCACCATGTGGGATTGTAATGATCAAAGGAAGATGACCAGGAATGTATTCAGTGAAGTTTTCTATGCCGAAGATTGGTTTGGTCGTAGAGGTTGTTGGAACATTGACAAATATTGGTGAGGGAACTTCTTCAACTTTTGGTTTCACAAAATACAAAATTAACGTGATAGCAAAAACCCCAAACAATAATAAGAATCGTAGACTACGTTGTCGATGGTAAATTCTTTGGATTTTCCGTCTAATCATCCTTTTTACTGTTTAAATTAAGGGTTAATTATACGTCTATCGAAATTTATTCGTGAAAGTTTGTTAAAAAGAAGTTGATAAGTTTAGCTTTTGCATAGAACTTTTTAAACCGGTTTTGGGAATGAGCACCCTATTTCTCTGATGGACCCTAGGTTGCATTTTCTTATTCGTAACTTACCTGTAAT